CCCAGTAGCTGGGATTACAGATGTGCACCACCATGCCCAGCTAGTTTTTGTATTATTAGTAGACATGGCATTTCACCATGTTGGCCAGGCTGGTCTTGAACTCCTGACCTTGTGATCCGCCTGCCTCGGCCTCCCAAAGTGCTGGGATTACAGGCATGAGCCACCGCACCCGGCCATGATGGCTATTATTATTATGATTATTGAAATGGAGTCTTGCTCTGTTACCCAGGTTGGAGTGCTGTGGCGCGATCTCGGCTCACTGCAACCTCCACCTCCTGGGTTCAAGTGATTCTCCTACCTAAGCCTCCAGAGTACCTGGGATTACAGGTGCCTGCCACCACACCCAGCAATTTTTTGTATTTTTAGTAGAGACAGGGTTTCACCATGTTGGCCTGGCTGGTCTCGAACTCCTGACCTTAAGTGATCCACCCGCCTCGGCCTCCCAAAGTGGTGGGATTACAAGAATAAGCCACCATGCCCAGCCTTATTATATTATATTATAATTATGTAAATTTTTTTTTTTTTTTTTTTTGAGACGGAGTCTCGCTCTGCCGCCCGGGCTGGAGTGCAGTGACTGGATCTCAGCTCACTGCAAGCTCCGCCTCCCGGGTTTTCGCCATTCTCCTGCCTCAGCCTCCCGAGTAGCTGGGACTACAGGCGCCCGCCACCTCACCCGGCTATTTTTTTGTATTTTTTAGTAGAGACGGGGTTTCACTGTGTTAGCCAGGATGGTCTCGATCTACTGACCTCGTGATCCGCCCGTCTCGGCCTCCCAAAGTGCTGGGATTACAGGCTTGAGCCACCGCGCCCGGCCAATTATGTAAATATTATATTTTAATTATATTAAACATTAATATTACATTATATGTATATATAAATGTTATATTTATATATAATATAAATATTATATTTAACAATATGAAATATATATTATGTACTTTATTATTTTATTATAAAATAAAAAATAGCCAGCACGGTGTAGTCCCAGCTATTCAGCAGGCTGAGGCAAGAGGATTGCTTGAGCCCAAAAGTTGGAGACTGCAATGAGCTACGATCACATGTCACTGCACTGCAGCCCAGGTGAGAGTGAGACCTGTCTGTACAACAACAAAAAATTTATAGTTCCCCTCTATATCAGAGGGGGGTTGCGAACTGGAGGTTTGTTAATGTGTTTACCTACTCTTTATGTTACCATATGTAAAAGGGCTTAGAACAGTGAATGCCTAGTATATGTAAATACTATCAACTCTTATTATTATTCCCCTCCTCTACCTAGTAGAATTCTTTTAGTTTTGCCCCTGGCAATTGCATTCCTAAACAGTATCCCTCAATTGCTGTTCCAACTGAGGCATTCAGAAGGATAGCTTGTTTTTGTGTTTTTGGTAGAAGCGGGGAGAGGGGAGAAGCCTGTTTGGTCTGGTACAGGAAATCCCGCCTGAATGCTGCCATCTAATGGTCACATTAAAAAATTAGATGCACCCTAACAAACTAATCCAGGGTTTTCCCTCAGCAAAGAGCATTTTTTTAATACTTGAAGACTATATTTTACTACCAGTTTAATTTTTCTTTCTTCAGCAAAATCTGCCACTGAACCAAGTTCTCATGGAACTTAAGATTTTGTTTGATTCTTTCCAGGACCAGAAATTCCAAAATTACAGGGAAAAAGAATGGAAAAAAAAAAAATAATAACATTGCATGACAATGGACACTAAGTTCATAAAGAACTTCTTTTTAAAATTAGATATTATGGAAGAAAATACCATGAAAAGAATAATCCTATGAGAATTGTTTTTCAGGCAGTAAATTTGAGCCTTGGGTCTTCATGAAGATACTACAGTTTATATAGAAAACTACAAATATACAAGACTCCGGCGGCGGGTGGGGGGGAGTCAGAATACATAATATTTAACATTCTGTATGACTAAAAATCTTTTGAGGGGAGCGAGAAAAGGACAGCCAACTGAATCTTTAAGAATACAGAAACTATGAAAAATTCCTGGATCAAAGGGTGCTCAAAATGGAACCACACTTTGTGGGGAAAAAAACCACAAGAAACTTTAAATTTTTTTTTTTTAAGGAAAAGAAAAAAGTACTGAATAATTGTAGTCCCTTCCAAAAAGGAAATCTTAAGGGGAAAATATTTGAATAGCGTAAACAAGTCTGGCTCAGAAAGAAAACTGAACAACATATCCAAGATCTGTCCATAGAAGTAATGCTTGTACATCTTTAATATTAAATAAATGGGCTATAAAAAAGTTCAGTCTCACAATTGGTTTTTAAAAGCTCATTTGTGCTCCTTTGTATGTGCATAGTAAAGTTTCATGGGTTTGTTCACTTTCCAGTATTTCTCACTGACCAATTCCAAAGAAAGAGAGCCATTTAATAGAGGGAACTGGCCACTGGCTCTTGCTATATAAATGTTATACTGCTTCTCACTGGCTGTATCAAGGTTCATCTGGTTTGATTCACCTTTGCTTCGAAGTTTTTTTGTTTTTTTGAGACGGAGTTTCACTCTTGTTGCCCAGGCTGGAGTGCAATAATGCGATCTCGGCTCACTGCAACCTCCGCCTCCTGGGCTCAAGCGATTCTCCTGCCTCAGCCTCCCAAGTAGCTGGGATTACAGGCGTGCACCACTACGTCAAGCTAATTTTGTATTTTTAGTAGAGACAGGGTTTCTCCATGTTGGTCAAGCTGGTCTTGAACTCCCGACCTCAGGTGATCCACCTGCCTCAGCCTCCCAAAGTGCTGGGATTACAGGCGTGAGCCACCATGCCCAGCCCTGCTTCGAAGTTCTTTAAAAGCTAACCTCACAGCCAGATACTTGGATAAGTGATCTACAGTGGCGTTACCAGAAGTCTTTATGTGTCTTGTCTGTGCACTGTCATCTTTTTCCGTAAGTGTGGGATGAGGCCTAAATACTAATTCAGTTTCACTAGTGCCATCCATTACTGGATCAATTTCCATTGCTGCATTGTTATTATCAAGCTCAAGCCCAGAATCATCAGTTGTTTTGGTCCGTTTGTTACTAGGGCCTGCTTCCTGATTGCTATGTGTGGAGGCATTACTACAGTGTGAATTGTCACCATTATCTTCTGCTTCACTACCATTTTCAATCTGTTGTTTCTTGCGTCGCTGCAGTCTGTTCATAACCTGTATCTTCAGTCCTTCCTCAATGCTGTGACTGAGTGCTTGCTGATTATTGTGCTTGCTGATCCTGGCTAATACTCTATCTTGATGAGTTTCATACTCATCATGACTTGGATAAATTTTGCTGATGAGGGCATCAAAGTCTGGGTCTGGCCTTAGTGATCTTTTGGAAACTAGTTTTTTCCGACAGGTAAGACATTCTCTGTTGCCACTTCTAAGGGCTATGATGATGCAGTCTGCACAGAAAGGATGTAAACACTCCTTTGTAGTCATGGTGTTCTTCAACATTTCCAAACAAATTGGGCACATTAATTCACTGTGTAGACTTCGAGGTGAAACCACAATTTCGGTTTTTCTTTTCTTTTCTTTTCTTTTTTTGCGACAGAGTCTCACTCTGTTGCCCAAGTGGGAGTGCAGTGGCGATCTCTGCTCACTGCAAGCTCCGCCCCGTGGGTTCACGCCATTCTCCTGCCTCAGCGTTCCGAGTAGCTGAGACTATAGGCGCCTGCCACTATGCCCGGCTTATTTTTTGTATATTTAGTAGAGACGTGGTTTCACCGTGTTAGCCAGGATGGTCCTGATTTCCTGACCTCGTGATCCGCTCGCCTCGGCCCCACAAAGTGCTGGGATTACTAAAGGCGTGAGCCACCGCGCCCAGCTGAAACCACAATTTCTAAGCCACACTGGGGTGTTCATTGTAACTCATATAAACTGAGTTCCCATGTTTTGCTTAATGGTTGAGTTCCGTTTGTCTGCACAGCCTGAGACATTGAGGATCCTGCCTCAGCCTGGGGCTCCGCTGGTCTATCAGCCGCCGCGGGCCGCCGGCGCCGCCGCACAATATGGCGAGCCGCAAACAGCATTTTAACACAAGCCTCCAGGGTTTCAGGACACCCGCCTCTTTCCCTACGGATACCAAAATCTGCTCATGTCCAAGTCCCTAATATACTCTGGTGCGTATACTATGGTGTCAAATTTGTATGTCCCAAATACTCTAAATCTCTAGGTTATTTATAATACCTTAATACAATGTAAGTGCTATTTAAATGGTTGTTATACTGTTTTTTATTTGTATAATTTTTATTGTTGTATTCTTGCTTTTTATTTTTATTTTTTCTGAACATTTTTGATCTGCAGTTGGTCGGATCTAGGATGTAAACTGCAGGTGTGGCAGGCCTACTGCACTGCTTTTTTTTTGTTTGTTTGTTTTTGTTTTTTTTTTTGTTTGAGACTGAGTCTGGCTCTGTCGCCCAGGCTGGAGTGCAGTGGCCGGATCTCAGCTCACTGCAAGCTCCACCTCCCGGGTTTACGCCATTCTCCTGCCTCAGCCTCCAGAGTAGCTGGGACCACAGGCGCTCGCCACTTCGCCCGGCTAGTTTTTTTTTGTATTTTTTTAGTAGAGATGGGGTTTCACCGTGTTAGCCAGGATGGTCTCGATCTCCTGACCTCGTGATCCGCCCGTCTCGGCCTCCCAAAGTGCTGGGATTACAGGCTTGAGCCACCGCGCCCGGCCATACTGCACTGTTTTGTTACTAGAGGAAGTGAGGACACACCTGTGGACTTGAGCACCTTCCATTCACCAGTTGCTCCATGGGCATACTCTAATTCAGGTCTCCCCACAACCCTCTGAGTTAATATTTCTTTCCCCATTTTAAAGATGAGAAAATAAAGCCTAGACAGTTTAACTTTGCTTCTGTTTTGAAACTAGCTGAGAGATGAATTAGGGTTTGTACCCATGTCTATCAGCTTCAACTTTTATGCTTTTTCTTCTGTACCCCAGTGCCTGTTAAATTTTGGAAATCCCAGAAACAGCCCACAAACTTGGGTTAATCTCCTTAGAGATTTTGACAATGTCCTTTGAGAACCCACTGCACTACAGAAACACAAAACCCTTTGCATATTAATGTCATTGAATAAATTGTACCATTGAGACCTGAACCAATAATTTTAGATATGTAAGTTAGAAACAGTAGCTGCTAGGTGTAGTCGGTGCAAAAGCAATTGTGGTTTTCGGCAATGAAAGTAGTGGCAGGCGGGTGCTGTGGCTCACGCCTGTAATCTCAGCACTTTGGGAGGCCAAGATGGGCGGATCATCTGAGGTCAGGAGCTCGAGACCAGCCTGACCAACATGGAGAAACCCCCTCTCTACTAAAAATACAAAATTAGCCAGCCGTGGTGATGCATGCCTGTAATCTCAGCTACTCGGGAGGCTGAGGCAGGAGCATCACTTAAACCCAGGATGCAGAGGTTGCAGTGAGCTGAGATTGCACCATTGCACTTCAGCCTGGGTGACGAGAGCAAAACTCCATCTCAAGACAGAGCGAGACAGAGTCTCAAAAAAAAAAAAAAGTATCCGGACGTAGTGGCAGGCGCCTATAATCCCAGCTACTTGGGAGGCTGCAGCAAGAGAATCTCTCAAACCCAGGAGATGAAGGTTACAATGAGCTGAGATTGCACCATTGCACTTCAGCCTGGGTGACGAGAGCAAAACTCCGTCTCAAGACAAAAACAAAAACAAACAAATCTAATTTTAAAATAAGCTTGCTCTCAATGGTAATTTTTTTTTAAGTGGTAAAGAAAACTAAAAAAAATAACAAAAATCTCGAAGCTCCAATCAATCTAAAGTCCAATAACCTCTCTCTCTCTCTTTTTTTTTTGGAAACAGGGCTTTGCTTTGTTGCCCAGGCTGGAGTACAAAGATACAATCCTGGCTCACCACAACCTCTGCCTCCAGGGCTCAAGCAATCCTCCTACCTCAGCCTCTGGAGTAGCTGAGACTACAGGCACACACCACCACACCCGGCTAATTTTTTTTGTTTGTTTGTTTTTGAGATGGAGTCCCACTCTGTCGCCCAGGCTGGAGTGCAGTGGCGCAATCTCGGCTCACCTCCACCTCCCGAGTTCAAGCGATTCTTCTACCTCAACCTCCAGAGTAGCTGGGATTACAGGCATGCACCATTATGCCCGGCTAATATTTGTATTTTTAGTAGAGATGGGATTTCACCATGTTGGCCAGGTTGGTCTTGAACTCCTGAGCTCAAGTGATCAGCCCACCTCAGCCTCCCAAAGTGGTAGGATTACAGGCGTGAGCCACCACTCTGGGCTATATGTTATCATCTTTTATTTAACCAGACTCAATATGGACATGTAGTTTATTTCAGATTTTTACCAATACAAGATAATGCAGGAATAAACAGCTGCATATATAAACCTAACACATATTTCTGCGTTCACATTCAGAGAAAAACAGCAGTGAAACAAAAAGTGGCTTTAATCAAAACGGTCTTGAAGACAACCAAGCATACAGGAAAAGACTTAAGAGAAAAATAATGAATAATCAAGCAGACTAAGCAGGACCGGGATTAGGTAGCGGGAGGTGGAGGTTGCAGTGAGCCAGTATCAAGCCACTGCACTCCAGCCTGAGTGACAGGGCGAGACTCTGTCTTAAAAAGAAAAGTAAACTAAGCAGTAAAGCTGCCCAATAATTAATCCTCTTGCCCTAAATGTCCCAATCAAAGTTACATTGACAGAAATTGTTTTCTCAGAGACTGGACTCTGGCTCTTCCTGTGTGCCATCATGGCAAAGTTAGAAGGAATCAGGACGCAGTACAAGAATGGCAAGCTCTCTTAGTCTGCTTTGTATTGTTATAACAGAATGCCACCAACTGGTAATTTATTTTAAAAAGAAATTTATTTCTCACAGTTCCGGAGGCTGGGAAGTTCAATATCAAGGTGCCAATGAGGGCCTTGTTGGATGGGCAAGAGATAGGGAGAGGAAGTGGTGTCAACTCTTTTTTTTTTTTTGAGAGAGTATCTCTCTGTCGCCTAGGCTGGAGTGCAGTGGCACAATCTCGGCTCACTGCAACCTCTTCTTCCCGAGTTCAAGCAATTCTCCTGTCTCAGCCTCCCTAGTAGCTGGGACTACAGGCACACGCCACCATGCCTGGCTAACTTTTGTATTTTTAGTAGAGACGGGAGTTTCACCATATTGGTCAGGCTGGTCTCAGGTGATCCACCTGAGACCAGCCTGACCATCCTCCTGACCTCAGGTGATCCACCCGCATCGGCCTCCCAAAGTACTGAGATTATAGGCGTGAGCCACCGTGCCTGGCCCCAACTCAATTTTTTATATCAGAAGCCCACCCCCTTGATAACTAACCCACTCCAGAGATAATGGCATTAATCCATTCATGAGTACAGCCCTCATGACATAATCACTTCTTACAGGCCCCACTTCTCAACACTGCCAGGCAAACGAAATGATCAGAAATTCAAGTGATGTTTCCAGACAGGCTCACAAATCTTAGGCAGAGTTAAGATTGAGGTGAAGCAGAGAGGATAAACCAGACACAGTACCCTGTAAAGTCAGGGCTGTGGAGTGGGGTGGATCAGCGTTGGAATCTCAGATCTGCCAATTACAGGAATTATTAACTTGGGCCAGACATTTAAACTCCTTGACCTTCATTTTTCCACATTTCCTCATCTTAAAATGCAGAATGATAATGAATCTTCCTCAAAGTTGTTAGAAGGATTAAACGTGATATGGGATAGCTTCCATGCAGAGTAAAGCGGATGGTATGGAGTGTGGTGTTCAATAACTGATAGCTATTAACCAGGAAACACAGTCATATCTAATTAGGGTAGAAGAAGCACTGTGGTTTGGCCTCAGAGGCTGAAACTAGATAGACCTCAATCCCAAGGTTCACAAAGGGGATGTAGGTGACAGTGGTGAGGGTCAGACCATGGGAGGCTAGGTCTCAGAAACCAGGGTGACCCATGAGGCCCAGGAAGGGTGAGAGGACACAGGGGAGCACAGCCATGGGTTGAGTCCAAAAAGTAGATCCTCAACAGAAACTCCTCTAATTCCTTTGATTCCCCCAAAAAGCCCCCCAGAGCTGTACAGCTTTTACTTAGCTCCTTTTATAGGCATTTCCCTCTTTCCTCCAACTATGTTCGCCTAGATTATGTGTCATGTTGACCAAACTTTCAATGTTTACTTTCTGCTTCCTGAATAGTATAAAGCCTTATTCCAGAAAGAAAATATAAATCTTTTGTTTTCCTGGGAGGAGTGAGAGGAACCTAGATTCCTTCAGAAAAGTACGGCAGCTCTCTTGATCATCTCATCATATCAAATTTATCCCCATACTCCCAGGATCCTACCTTTTAATTTATTTTATTTTATTTTGAAATAGGGTCTCACTGCATCACCCAGGCTGGAGTGCAGTGGCACAATCATGGCTCACTGCAGCCTCAACCTCCCATGCTCAAGTGATCCTCTCACCTCAGCCTCCTGGGTAGCTGGGAGTACAGGCACACACCACCACACCTGGCTAATATTTTTATTTTTTTGTAGAGACGGGGGTCTCCCTATGTTGCCCAGGCTATTCTCAAACTCATGGACTCAGGTAATCTTCCTACCTCAGCCTCCCCAAGTGTTAGGATTATAGTCATGAGCCACCACGCCCGGCCTGATGCTACGTTTTAAATGCTTTGTGAATCTATACACTTCTTTAGACTTCACTATCAAATGCCTTCATCTTTTGCTAGACTCTCAGTCATCTCACTGGGGTCTGCATTTCCACTTGTGCCCATGCCCATCCTCCATTTTCAGCTAAGTAATACTGCATTATAAAAACCAAAATTTGGCTGGGCACTGTGGTTCATGCCTGTAATCCTAGCACTTTGGGAGGCTGAGGTGGGTGGATCACTTGAGGTCAGGAGTTTGAGACCAGCCTGATCAACATGGAGAAACCCCACTTCTACTAAAAATACAAAATTAGCTTGGCATGGTGGCACATGACTGTAATCCCAGCTACTTGGGAGGCTGAAGCAGGAGAATCGCTTGAACCCGTGAGGAGGAGGTTGCAGTGAGCTGAGACTGCACCATTGCACTCCGGACTGGACAACAGGAGCAAAACTCCATCTCAAAAAAACAACACCAAAAAAAACATAATTTGAGCACATCTCCCCCTGGCTTAAAAAATTTCTAATAATTCTCTTCCCACCATCTTGGCT